AGAAATTCCGGCAGTAGTATCTTTCAGTTTAAGCGGGGCTCGTGTAAGACCTTATCAGCGAATCCAAGGGCTCTTACGGAGGCAATATGACAACATTATAGAGAAATCTTTTCAGTGGATTTTGAGGACAATTGTAGGAATAATGCGTGCTGTCCACATACCATGAGTCCAGTTGAAGCCCCCTGCACGCCAATTTCTGGCACAAGTGAGTCCCGATCTGCAGGCATCGTACCAGCGATTACAGTCGGATTGGCAGAGAGGCATTCCATAGGCTCGTTCAGGAAACTTCTTACTATGCGTCTGTCCAAAAAAAATGCATAAGACCCTATCAAAGTACAGGAGATTGCCTAACGGATGAAATGTGAAGATTGAAATTGAAGGGAATGGTTTAACACACATTTAAGGTTGTTTATTTTATTCGTTGAATAGACCTGAGAGGCAAAGTACTGTTTAGTAGAAAAGACTTCATTTCAGATGGGTGTATCGAAGAGAAGTAGGCGCAGACTTTGGCAAAATCCGCAATCTGTTGATATCTAATTAACTTTCTACGCTATTAATCGCTGTGGACCGAAAACCCTTTGCTTTTGCGTGTTGTACTGTAGAAGACTATTAATAGAATCCAGAAATTTGCTAGGTATATCTTTTCAAAAAACGGAAAATTTCGTTTATCGTACGTAAAAGTGCACGTATGAGATAAGGCATTGTCCTCACAAATTGAAGAGTGGATTCCATTCAAAAAGTTCAGTTTTGCAAATGTGCCATATTTTGTGCCATAACACTAAGGAATGAACATATAAGGGAGTAATTTGTTTGACCATCCCGAAAATAAGAACGATAAAGAGCCACATATATAAGCAACAGAGACATACTATCATTCTGTGCTGTCTAGCCGTATGCAAAATATGTCCAAACGCTTAACCTGTAGTTCAGTATGAACCAATAGGCAAACTTTAGATGGAAATTATAGAATTGACTTAATTTTTGAAAAATAAAGCTACCGTTTCAAGCTGTCCTTTAAGAGCTTTTTAATTGATCCTGAGCATATTAGGTTGTTGAATAAGTAAAGCAAAATGCATTTCGAAATTGTACGATGGAAAGAAAGAAGGTCTTCGGAAAATCAAGTTGATATTGTGAGTTCTCGAACGGGTAGCACTTGTTCGTCGTCAGACTTAATTGAAAGTGAGGGCTGCGAATGTCGCATAAGAGTTTTAGGGAGCGGAGGTTAGATTGAACGGGGACTTATTTTCCAGTATCTTAATTTTCTCGGCTATTAATTGACTATGGTCCAGAATAAAACAGGCGCTTTAGAAACAATGCCCGAAAGCTCCCAAAATAGGTAACTGCATTTAATATCCATCTTATTAGGAACATTTTGGGAAGCACGTAAAACGAATTCCTTATTTATTGTCAATCGGCTGAAGCCATGAAAAATCGTAAAGTGCTAATTATACATTCAAAAATGATCAGAACCTCATCTTCACTGAAATCTCGAAATAATTACAAAGAAAGTTGAAAGAAGTAAATCTCTCCTAGTGTACCCCAAGCGTAGAACGTTTACGATCGCACCTGACAAATTCATTTAAATTTATTTGTCACTCACAAGCGTGTCCGTACATGAACTTACGAAATACGTTACTTCTGTGACGTCCGAATCGGTGCAATAAATCAAAAACTGGTTGCCTTAGTCCAGCGCAATTCAGACAATATCTTAGGGGAAGAAACGACTACCAATTCTCCTTAAACCCTATTGGAATAAATAACCATACTTCAGGCTTTTCGGTTACGACCATACGTTATATTTCGAGTAGTACGCAAGCATATGCATCCGAAAATTTTACAACACAATTATTCTTCAGTGAAGTTCTACTTGTGCTGTTTTACTTACTCGTTTTTTGCATGAACAGGTATTGCCTACGCTAAAAAATAGGGTGAGGTTATATAGAGCGGTCGGATATTCCCTAATCTATAAATATCAACTATTCGCAAATTTTCAGTAGGTTGAAATGCCTATAATCTTCCGGTTTTCC